ACGACCACCACCAGCACCACCACCACCACCATCACCACCACCACGACGATCAGCACCACCACCGCGACGATCAGCACCACCACCACCACGACGATCGCCACCACCACCACCACCACCATCACCACCGCGCCCATCACCACCACGACGATCAGCATCACCACAACCACCAACACCACTACGACCACCCGCAACAACAGCAACCCTGACATTGTGCTTTCCCCTGTCCCAGTGCCCACGACCAAGCCGCATTCATCGACGACTCTTTCCCACGTCCCGGCCCCTATCAAGCTGCATTCATCGGCGACTGACGCAATCCGCGAAGCGGGGTCGGGTGGTCAAGCCCTCGCGAGATTCGAGTGGCTGGACCACCTGAAGTCTCCTAGCCTCTTAGGTATGGGCATTGTGGCTGTTGCGATAGGGTTAGTACTGAGTTGCTTCTTCTGCTGTCGTCGTTCATAAATTGATGCTGTACAGTCCTCCGACTCTGACAAGGGAAGGGGACCAAAAGAATCTCACCCGATCTGCCAGGCTGTGGGAGGTCATGCCACTCTGAACCCCCTTAACCCTCAAGTCAAAAGCCTCAACCCTTCGAAACCTCAGATCTCGCCTGGATTGTCCGAGATAGAGTGTAAAACCCCCTGGCCCCTGTGAGCGCCGAAACCCTAAACCCTAAACCCGAAACCCTAAACGCAAACCCTAATCCCTAAACCCTAAACCTCAACCCTTGTTCGCTTGAATGCTCGTGGAATGGCAGGGATCTTCGCGAGCTCCTGCAGGCAATCCCCGAGGAGCCGGGGCCTGTCTCGCTTTTTGCCTGGATTCGCAAACAACCCTTTAGGGTTTGTAGGGCTTATAGGGTTTATAGGGCTTAGGGTTTAAAGGGTTTAGGGTTTCTAGGGTTTAGGGTTTATAGGGTTTAGGGCTTATAGGGTTTAGGGTTTATAGGGTTTAGGGTTTATAGGGTATAGGGGTTTATCATAGGGTTTAGGGTTTAGGGTTTAGAAAGCCTCACTCCCTACATACGCCTGCACATATATTCATATTCATACATGCATAGGGGTCATGGGCATATGTGTATGTAGATATGTAGGTATGCATGTATTTAGGGAGTAGAGGTAGAGGTAGATCGATCAGATCGGATCAACCCCAAACCCCGATCTCATGACAGCTCCGGGCCTTATGGACCTGGGGCATGGAATCACTTATGTGACATTTGAGGCCCAGGGCAGGGGCAGGGCAGGTTTTCTTGACTTTTGGGAGCACGTTTTGGATCTACTCGCCAGGGTCTGGCCAAGAGTGGGTGCCCGGATCTTGGTTATACAGATATATGCGAATTCGGCTCTTGCTGTCATGCTCACCGCACCGAAGGTACGCGGCTGGCCTTTCGTTTGTACAGGGTAGTTGAGGGCGGATCCAGGATGTGTGCAGGGATGGAAAAGGATGGCTGTTTGTGTGTGTGTGTGTGTGCCTGTGTGCCTGTCTGTGTGTGTGACCTTGTATCGATCCTGCAGGCAAAACCATCTTGAGTCAAGCCATTTTCAATTCAAGGCATTCGCTACTTCTCGGCGGACCTGAAACCAGGAATCCCTCCGTGAAGGCTCTTTTCCTCAAAGACGGGGTGGCTGTGCTTTCCTTGCGGCTGGTGACTGACATGGCGTTGGAGTGTTGCACACAAGATCTCTATAGCGTAAACCTGTGCTGCAAGCCCTGCCGGTTGGTTTATCGTTCCGATGCAGCAGAAGTCTTTGAAACGCATTGCGTAACTGTCGGCGGATCCATCCTGCAGGATTCACAGCCTCTCCTGAGTCTTTGAAACCCCTCTCATCTACTGTGCCATGGAAGAGGCGGGCAGACTTCTTTCCAGCATCGAGCTCGACGAGTTCACGATCAAGGAGGTCCAGAACGGTTGGGCGACGACCGAGAAGCGGCTGGGAGGGCCGAAAGCTGCTGGCGAGAAGGTGTTCCGGAAGCTGAAGAAGCAGGTCTGGGGGTTTCCGAAAATAGG